TTCAGGAATCCTTCAGAAGCCACAGGCAAGTGTGTAAGAAAAGCACCCAGTTCTCCCACCTGGGTCTGTCTCTCCAGTGAGGCTCCTTCACTTCCACACAGAACAGGTCACTTCTGGTCACTAGATGTCGGGGGGCTGGTCCCCACACCAAGCGATTCTCCGTGACACCAGCTGAGTGTCCTGCAATTTAACCAAATTCTGCCACTGCTGCCCGGAGCTGGTGTCAGACCCCACAGATTGAGGGCTCAGCCCCACAACACTGGCCCCCGGGTGCCAATCCCAAGCAGGGCACCCAGGTTACCTACAACTTCTGTCTGATGTGGCTACACAGCAGAGGCTCCCACGACCCCCTCCTTGGGTTCAGTCCGTTTGCTAGAGCAGCTCATGGAACTCAGGGAAACACTCAGCTACATTTATCAGTTTATTAAAGGATGTGATAAAGGAAACAGATGAACGGCTGGAGTACGTAGGGCGAGGCCTGGGAGGGTCTGAGCACGGGAGCTTCTGTCCCATGGACTTGGGGGTGCCACCCTCCCGGTGTGGATGTGCTCAGCCCCCGGACCCTGTCCTGTTGGGGTATTTTGTGCCTTCTTCGTGTAAGCGTGATCCATCATTAAGTCCATTCGTGGCCCCTCTCCCCTCTCTGGAGGATGGTGGGGGGCGGGAGAGGAGCTGAGAATCGGAAGCTTCTCATCCTGGCCTCGTCTTTCTGGTGACCAACCCCACCAAGAGCCACCGAGAGTCGCCTCAGTAAACAAAAGATGTTCCCAGTGTTCTTATCATTTAGGAAATTACAAGGGTTCAGGGGCTCTGTGCCAGGAGCTGGGGCAGAGAAAACATGTATTTTCTAGTATCTCACAGTAAGGAGAATAAGACTGTGAGTTATCTGCCATTTCTTTCCCTTCTTTCCTAAGTCATAGAACTCTCAAATTGTACCTGGGCACATGGCTGCGTGAAGGATGCAGAGGTCCCAGCGTCCTTTGCAGCCGGGCAGTGGCCACAGAGCCCAGTCAAGTGGACAGAGCTCCAGCGGACGTGGTAGCTGCCCCTCCTGGGGCTCGGCCTGCAAGGGGAGTCGGGGCTCAGGCTGTCACTCCCTCCCTCCTCCCCTGGGGCGGGCTGGAAGCGGCCTGATGGTGGGCGTTTTCCCAACAGGCAGATACGGCAGGGCGGCGCCCGGAGGGGACCCGCCAGCAGCCCGTTACATGGAGACAGTGAACTTGCCCCTCCCTTTTTATAATGTTTAAATGCATTTGTCCTCACCGAGTTGACAGACGAGTTCAAGGCAGCTTAGAAAAATAATACAGTTAACATATGCGTGGGTGAATCAGGGCAGAGAAGGGCGCTAGGAAGGTGAGCAGGAACGCAGTGGCACCCACACTGCCTGCAGGGAAACCCTATCCGCTTCTAAAGCTGGAGCGCAGTTTAGTCAGGGCTTTCCAGCTGCTGAGAGTGCGAGGAAACCTGATCAGTGACCTAATTCGTGGTGTCTGTGCGACAGAAACAAGCTTGTGTTTCTGGAGAAGAGAACGGAATTCATCTCATGAATCCTCCTAAAACACATTTTACAATGTGATGACCGCTGTCTTACACGATTTTACACAGGGTGGTGATGAAATTAAATTCGTATTTTAAGGCAAGACAAGAATAAATTAAACTTCTTCTCTGCCCTTTGGCCTCCTCCCTCCCCACTAGTGTGCATGGGCGTCTGCATTGGGTGTAACCTGACCTCCCCAATGGCAGAAATATCTGGCGACAGCCATAGAACTCCTTAGAAGGTAACATTCCTTTCCTTATCCTCTAAGAGGTCACGATGACCCACCACTCACCTTGTACGTGCAGACATCTTTGGTGGACTTTATGGGCAAGGCCACTATATCATTTCCCTTAAAGGTGGTGATTGGTGCAGAACAGACTGGTCAGACGACCTGGGGAGATACTGGGCTGCACCTAAAAGAAGTTCTTAGCTCAAATACTTACTTTTGACTGTGTTAATGTCACTAGCTGTATTACTTGTATGCTGCCTATTTTACAAGATTACTGTTTCTTGCATTACCAAACCCGATAAAAATAATGACGACTAGGTGACCTAAAACAATTGTCAAATTCCTAGTTCTGGAAGATCAGTGATTGTAACAGCGTAACTCTAGATATGGGAAGAAGCTACAAGAGGGAACCGTTTCCAGGACCATAACAGACTAGTAGGACAGGCGGCCCAGAGGCTTTGGGCTACTGTTAACAGGGCCTAGTCCAGTAACAGCACATTGAGTGGCCTATCGAGGAAATCCTCGCCTGACCTGGGAATGAGCATTCCTAGTGCCATGGGGTAAATTGGTCATGAAACGCCTCAAGACAAAACCTTGGTCAAAATTAAGACAAAAAGGAGGGGGTTGTGACATAAAGAATGTTGCCCACCACCCAGCCCCACAAGAATGAAGTCATCAACCACCACAGTCGCTGACTTCCAGGACACGCTGAAAGGAATTCAGGGTGAGGCACTTTGGCTCGGGGAAAACTGGCAGAACTGACCCTCAGAGAGTTCGACATTTTCAGGAGAATATTTTTATGAACCTGGATTCTCACCTCTTCCCACCCTTAGAAAAGCACTAAAACCATTAAGGTATCTGTCCCTCGTGGATAGCAGTGACCTCCTACCAAGCTGTGTGCTTGGCTGCACGTAGCCCTTCGTCAGAATCACACATGCTGGCCTCCCCCCGCACCTCTTCAGGACAGCCCTCAGAGTTTTCGGAGAAACCGTCTCCCGGATTGTAAGCCTCAGGTTGGCTCGAATTAAATCTTCTGTTTCTTTCCCAGGTTGACCATTGATTAATTTTTCATCGACAGCAGTAAGCTTCAGACAGTTCTCAGGACCTTCCGCAAGGTGAGCTGAGGACACGTCCAACCACAGCCACTACGACCCCTGCTCCAGCCACAGGGCTCGGTGGGAGCGGGGCTGGCATTGCCCGCTGCTCACGCTGCCGCTCTCGGCTCTCCGCGGATCGGACTTGAAGAGCTGGAACTCACCGGAGGCCAAGCCTTGCATTTATTCAGGAAAAAATCTCCGATGTGGTAAAATTGGGGCTGGTGGGGATGTTCAGGATCAAAACAGGGTCACAGGATTGCTCCACATAATAAAGGAAAGAGGATTCGAAGGGAGGAGGCCCCATGGGTCTCGGTGGTGGGGGGGGGGGCGGTGAGGCGGGAATGCTGTGTAAGCTCCTTCCCCTCCTTCCCTCCAGAGGACATGGTCCCAGAGACGAGGTGGTTCTGTACTCGAGGGGACACGGAGGGGACACGTGGAGCGGCCAGGCGTCTGCTTTCTATTTCATATAGTAGATGTGATCTGGTGATAAGTGCTTGGAGAAAACCACAGCAGTAAAGCATGGGGAGTGCTGTCTGCGGGGAGAGTGGGTGGTGCGCTGCTATGTTATACAGGGCGCTCAGGAAGGCCCTTCTGATAAAGAGGGATTTGAGCGAAGACCTACAGGGAGAGGGAATGAGGTGGGACCCACATGGCGAGTCCTAAAAACGGCCACGATTTTTGGAGCTGCTTCCACCAAGTAACGGGGTTGCTTCTCCATCCCTTGAATTGGGCGGGTCTTGTGGCTTGCTTTGACCAGTAGGGTGTGGCAGATGTGAGGCGGTGCCTGATCCAAGCCTCAGCCTCAAGAACACACACAGCTTCCGCGCTTGAACCAGTCTCGTGGAGGGTGTGAGACATGGGCCCAGTGTCGCTGGGCCCCAGAGCACAGCCGCCGAAGTGGCCGGGAACTGACCGCAGACCCGCGGGTGAGGACCCAAGGAGACCAGCCCCAGCACTGACCACTGAATCGTGGGATAAATATGCCTGCTGTTTCCAGCTTTGCAGTGGCAGGGTGGTTTCTCGTGCAGCAAAAGCTAACTGATACGGACAGCTTTAAGAAGTGAAATCTCTGAGTCAATGTTTCAGTGCAGGTTAGACTATAGGACTCAGGCAGGGAAGGAAGGGCTAGACTACAGGCGGCTGTAGTAAAGCCATACGTTTTTGGAGCATCCGAAGTATCAACCCCTAGGGAAATAGTTAAGTCAGTATTCTCAATGCTGCCCATCCCAGTATCTTCATTTTTTATCACAAATATTTTTATATCACCCTTTCTATATCCTCTAATGATTTGCAGGTCACATTACCCACCTATACATGTAATCTAAATAAATTAATATATTGCCCTCGCTGTAATACAGGTGAGGGGATTTTAAATAAAATATTATGTGCTTCGGTACATAGAGGTGGGAGAGCTGGGCTTCTGTTCAGTCTCTGGCAACTAACCTGAATTCAGATTGCTCTCGCGGTAGAACCAGGGGGCTCAACTGCAAAGTGGGTGAGGCCTGATCAGGGCCTGTGCGTTTACGAAAGGCTCCAAAATTATAAAATTGTGGTAGAGTACACCTAACATAAAACGTAACCATCTTAACCCCTTTCAAGTGTACAGGTCAGTGGCGTTAAGTATGCTCATGTTGCCAGGCAACCGTCACCAGCATCACCTTCAGAACTTGTTCATCTTGCAAAACTGAAACTCTCCCAGCAGAGACTTCAATGTTAACGGCAGGCGAGGCGATTCACCGAGCTGAGCTGTCGCTCACCGCCAGAAGGAAGAAGATGCACACTCTTCACCTGTAAACCTGTGCCTAGTCTCTGCACACTACACAACAGTTTAGAGCTGTGAGGGCACCAGATCCCCCAGGTTATGGGCTCAGTCCCGCAAGCCTGCCCGCCCCCCAACTTCAGATGCCAGTTGAAGCCAGGTTGTCACGTGTGCTTCTGACCCACCGGCTGTAGATGAGAGGTTCCCACGGCCCCCTCCTCAGGTTGGATTAACTTGCTGGAGCAGCTCAGAGAACTCACTTGACTTACTAGATCTAGGCTTCTGATAAGAGGCGTGGCTCAGGAGCAGCCAGATGGAAGAGACCCTCCGGGGAGGGTGTGGGGAAGGGCCCCGAGCTTCCACGCCCCTCCCCGCACCCCCCCCTCCCCAGCCTCCACGCCTTCCCAGCCTGGGCGCTCTCTGAACCCGCTCCTTCGGGGTTTCTATGGAGGGTTCCTTACGCGGCCGTGATTGACTACATCACGGCCACTGGTGACTGATTCCGCCTCCAGCCCCCCTGCCCTCCCGGAAGGTCAGGGGCTGGGACCCACGTTCCAGGCCTCTGATCACAAGGTGGCTCCACTGGCATCCAGCCCCATCCTTGGGTGGTTTCCCAGAGTCAGCTCATTAACATAAGGAACGACACCTTCATCCCTCTCAGCAGAGGAAATTCCAAGGGTTTTGGGAGCTCCGTGCCAGGAACAGTGGGCAAAGACCAAATACGTCTTTCTTATGGGCCAGACTCCAAGTCAGGGCACGGCCTTTGGGAGACGCTGGGGAGGGGACATCCGCATCTCACGGGTCGGGGGACAGACTCTCACTGACCCCAGATCTCTTGCCTTTCTTTGCCAGCTTCTCTTCAAAGTGCAGGACTATTTTTAGCGGTGGCTCCATCACTTCGGGCCCTGCAGGTCCGGGGTCCCGAGGCGCCTTCTCGGTGGCTGCTCCCTCCGGCGGCCCCGCCCGGCCGGGTCCTGGGAGCTGGACCATCGCTCCTGATGCCCCACCTGGAGGGAGAACCAGCAACTTCTCCAAGGTGCACCCGAGTGCCCGCATTTTAGGCAGGTGAGTCCCACTGCCGCCTGCTCGGGCCTCGGCAGTGTAGGGTGGAGAAGACCCCCAGGCTGCCTGCCGTGGGGAGGCCGTCCAGCAGGGCGAGAGGTCCCACGCCCCTGACCCAGCCCTGCTGGGCACCCTGGAGGGCAGGCCCGTTTCTGCCTCCCTGCTGCCCCCCAGGCCCAGCTCCCGAGCACCTGGCAGGAGGGCGCTGAGCTGGGCACACAAAGGCCCGAGCCCCCGGCCTCGCAGCCCCTTCCGCTCCTGGGTCTCCATGATGTCCCCACAGAAGCCCACGAGGGTCGTGTGAGTGAAGCGCAGGGCTGGCCTCTGCCGAGCAGAGCAGGCTGGGCTGGGGATGCAGCGCCGGCCCTGGATTATCTGAGAGCCGTGGGGGAATCCCTGAGGGCCCTAGACAAGGCTTCAGAGTCATTAGAGACCAAATTGCATTCCTTGGAATTTTACTGTTTCACCTGGAAATGTGATATTATGACTTTAGTACCGAACACCAGACCATCCATAGAGCGGTGAACTCTTACCTGGAGCCCTGGGTTAATCAGAGTGCGGCCCTTCATCCACTCACTGTCATGTGCTTGAAAGAGACAGACGGATGGAATGGAGAGACCGGCCTTAGAACAGAGTCTGAAGCCCGGCTCTGCCTCTCGAGGCGTGGGAGTTTGGGAGGACTCCTTTGGGAGTTTCCTCATCCGTGAAAGGGGGTCCGCGGGCCATATAGAAAGCACAGGGGCCCAGAGCATATGCCTGGAAATCTTATGTCCTGTGGCCTGGCTGTGGGACCTGCAGGGACTCCTGGGACGTCTCTCTGCCCTCGTGAGCCACCTGCCCACCTGGCCTGAAGGTCCAGGGCTCCGTGGTCCTGGAAGCAGCCCTCACTTGAGGCCTGGTGGGATAGGAGTTGGCAGGGCCTTGGGGTGGGATCTCCGAGGCCCCGGCAGGACAGGACTGAGCTCCAGGCGCCTCGGCTGACTCCCGCTCCCCCTCCCCGCCCCCACCCCCCGCCGCCTACTCTCCCAGCGGGTTTCCTGGGACCACCTCCCAGACAAGCTCATCTCCAGGTCTCTTCCCGGCGGGAATCCAAGGACGAACCAGTGGTCCCCTGAGGAATTTGGGGTGCGAGAGGCAAAAATACCCTCCCTAGCATAGCACAGTGAAGTGGCTAAGAGGCGTCGGGAGATCACAGGAAGGAGGCTGAGGACCCGTGCCTGACACCCCCCGGGGGCAACAGTTCCCAAGCAGAGGCCGTGCAGAGGGAGCCTGTGTGGGACGGGGTGGGCAGGAGGCCGGGGGCGATGAAGGCACAGCTGAGCGGCCCTGCAGGGCAGGTGGGCTCATTGTGGGAAGAGGCTGAGGGCCCTAAACTCCCGTCACTTTGTGGGGTCAGTCTCGGGGGGGAGGGCAGGGCTTGGCCAACCCGTCACAAGGGCCCCTGCTCAGCAGGTCTGCCCACCGGCCCTGACACTGGGTGGGCATGGAGGGCAGGAGGGAAGGGGATGGCGCCAGGGCTAGTGGTGCCAGGGCTGCTGGCACCAAACTGAAGGCCATTTGGGGAAGACAAGGACTGGCTGGGAACAAGGGTGGATGCCGTGGTGGCAGAGTGACAGCAGGAATCTGGGACAGACATGAGGAAAGGTGCAGGCAGGGTCAGGCCTTCCTTGTGCCCCAAACATCCCCCAGTGGGCCATCCGGGTGCCTGGACTCATCCGTCAGAACTTTAATGATAACAATAAACTAAGTAGCAGCAAACACCTACTGGGCTCCCCGTTTGTGTGCTGAGGGCTTCACAAGGACCTTCCTGTCGTCCTCCGACCTGTGAGGCAGCACTAATACTATCCCCACGTTACAGATGAGAAAACTGAGGTTCATAGCTTTCCTAAAGTCAGCTTGCTGTGAAATATTAATCCCCTGCCTTAGTCAGATTAGGGTGCCACAACAAAATGCCACGGACTGAGCAGCTTAAACCATAGAAGTTTATTTTCTCACGGTTCTGGAGGCTGGAAGTTCCCAGATCAAGGTGCCTGCAGGGTTGGTTTCTGGCGAGGCTCTTCTTCCCGGCTTGTAGACGGCCACCTGCTCGCTGGGTCATCACAGGGCCGCAGCTCCTCGTTAGGACACCATTCCTAGCCAGGCCCCCTCCATGACCTTAGTTAACCTTTATTGCCTCCTTATAGGCCCCATTTCCAAATACAGGCATGCTGGAGGTTAGGGCTTCAACATGGGAATTTTGAAGCCACAGCTGAGCCCATAATATCCCCTAACACTGTATGGAACTGTATTATTTGCAAACGTCTTTTGTGTCTGCATATCTTACTTTTCCATCCAAAAACTACAGTTTGGGCAGAGCAGCTCTTCGCAAAAGCTACTCACTGCTTGGAATCTGACCAGGGCTCTGGACACCCAGCGCTCTGGGCACCTATAAACACCAGTGAGAGGGGAAGCGAAGGGGCAAACTGGGCACGAGCCAGCTTGCAGGACTGGTGCGCACACTGCCTGCCACCTGTCGAGGCCCCAGAGAACGGGCTCCACATCCTGGCATGGCAGCCATCCTTTGGAGCTTGGCTGCAGCTGCCCCTTTGCAAGAGGGCTACATTCTCTCGTGCTTTCTCTACTACGGAGGTCAACTGTAAGTTGCCATTGATCATTATGCTTTTAATGGTTTATTTTTCTTGTAGTAAAGCTAAGAATAAAATGAAATGTTTCTTGTGCCCATAATTATACTGAACCAAGACAGCCACAAAATTTACAGAACCCAGGGTAAGAGTATGAATGGGGGCCCACAAGGCATATTTGCATTCATAGGAATTGCAAATAAACAAGTTGTAAAATGGGGTCATTCTAATTTCTGGCCTTGACAGATGTACCTCCATAGCAACTTGGGAGGCCACTGGACTTCCCAGTGGCCCTGTGGGAAGGGAAAGCCCGTGTTCCTGGACCCGTTTCTTCTTTGGATTGATGATCTGGGCACATCAGTGGAAGGGGCTTGGAGCCAGTGGGAATTCCTGGGTCCCAGGTAGCTGGAGCAGGTCTACAAAGTTGAGAGCAGGACTCCTGGCTACAGGTGACATGAACCCTGTTCCATGGGGAGGGCAGGAGGGGTCAGAGGATGGCTGGCCCTCTAAAGTCCAGGCGCCTGGGGAGCTCCAAAACCAGACATGGATCAAGAAGGCCACATGTCCTGAAAAACAGAGTGCACGTGTGTCTGTGACTCTGGAGAACTCTGTTTCACACGCAAAGTTGTCTTTTGTAGAAATAATATAGTGCAGTGTTTACTGAGTCTTGCTAAATATCTGGCCTCCATCTGCACTTGATGGTTCCTCCCCTGCCTGGGACTTCCCTCCGTGGGACCACGTTCTGGCTGTGACCCTGAGCAGGCTCCTAGCAAACCCTGCAGGTGAGCTTTGCCTGAGACTCCCTCCAAAATCTCATCCCTCCTCCCACCTTGGCTAGATCAGGCCAACGGTCAAAAGATAGTTTTGAGTCCATCGAGGAAAGCTGAACCGCTGCGTATTATTAACTTTGTCAGGTGTGATGCTGGTATTATGGAAATGTTTCAGAAAACAGGCCTTATCGATTAGATAAAGATTCAAGTATTTACAGGTGAAATATGTCTGCTGGATGCTTTAAAATTACTGCGGGAGAAAAAAAGGTGTGTGCGGGGCCCAGGATTTAGATGAAAAAAAAAAAAATCACGATGCAGCGCATGCCCGCGGCCGGCCCGAGGGGCGTGGGGCCACTTTACTGCCCCGGGCCGCCCGAGCGTTTCCGGGACGACACCGGCGGGGGAAGACGGGCCCTCACGCCCCTCCTCCGGGCCTACCCGCGGCCCTGCAGCCGCCAAGGCAGAGAACCGTCCCAGGGCGGGTCTTGTCGCAAGAATCCTGGGGAGCCAGCCCTGCAGCCCGGGGAGGGGGAAGGCGATCTGCGCGGCCCAACCGTTCTTTCCCCCGCCGGTCCCCCCCAGCCCCGCCCCAGGGCCTGTCCCGCCCCCGAGACCCCGCCCAGAGTCCCGGTCCGCGCGGCCGGGCGGGGGGGGGGCCGGGGAGCGCGGACTCCGGGTTTGGGGGCGGGGACTCCGGGCCCGGGGGCGGGGATTCCGGTTTTGGGGGGCGGGGACTCCGGGTTTTAGGGCGGGCTTTGGGAGAAGGCCGCAGTCCCGCCTCCTCCGTGGCCCCAGCGGTCTCGCTGCTCTTCCATCCGCGTCGCTTCTCGCCGCCGCCTGGGGTTATCCGGTGAGTGCGGCTCTGCGCCCGATGAGCCCGGGGTGGGGTGCGCGGAGAGGGCGGCCCGGGGCTCCGAGGGCCCAGGGCCGGGTGCGCGGAGGGGGCGGCCCGGGGCTCCGGGGGCCGGGAGCCGGGTGGAGCAGAACGTACGCGGAAGAGGAGGCAGGACTGGGGGAGCAGGGGGTGGTCCGCGCGGTCGGGGTCTGGAGAGCGGGATGGGGAGACCCCTCGGCCCGGAGCGTGGCGGCCTGTCGCTCAGGTAGCTCTGGGGCCGGCGCCGACGGGCCCGCTCCCCACCCCCACCAGTGATGGGAGAGCACCAGGTGGGTCCAGCCCGGCCTGCCTTTAACGGCCCTTCCAGGTGGTTCTGCTGCGGGGGAGTTAAAACCGCTGAGTTCAAACGGCAGAGCCGCTGAGGGTTTGTGCTGGGGGTGGGGCCAGGCCACGAGTCCTGGGATGCAGATGCATTAGTCCCCTGTGTCTTCACCACCCTGAGGAGGCACAGAAGTTTAACTTTTCCAAGGATACACGTATAGGAGGGGAGGAGCTGTGTGGGGTGAGGCGCGCGTGGGGTGAGGCGCGTGGGGGTGAGGCACGTGTGGGGGTGAGGCGCGGGGGCTGGGCGGAGTGGGTGCTGGGCTTGGGGGTCCTGCCGGAGCGAGGCTGCTCACCGCCGGCCTGGCTCAGACGCTTGCAGGGAGGGGCCGTTGGTGCTGAGCGCAGAGGGACGTGTGTCTGTGGTTGTGTCCTGAAGGGTGGGAGAGAAGTGGG